CATGCATACATTATGTGACATTAGAAATAAGTATTTCTTCCATATTTGCGTTGGAACTGTCTAATCCTCTATCGCCAGAATATTCATGTTTGTGTAGGCACTAAACTGTTATATAAACATTTTTTCGTCACGATTAAATTAAATATATTGCGAATAAGCATAGAAATATTTACAGCACTAATTACGATTCTTGCAGCCATCAAAACAAGGCACAAGAAGATTATATAATATTTTTTCACGCCGCAGGATTTCACAACAGAAAAACCGATGAAAAATGACAACTGACGTAGAGTTTTTATTTTGACGACAAAATAAGAGGCAAATAGCTAATCTTCTATCAGTCAGCACATTGAGTTTACAGTGGTTATTATCGACAGTAAGGGAACGCAATTTATCCGCGGTTGGATTTCCATGCATCAGTGACCCGGCCGTGGAAAAAAAAGTATTTCGGAAACAATTTATATTTGGAAGACATGAATTCTATACAGATGTGATTATCCATAGAGAGAATTCGATTTTGATTTTGGTGTCTGGGTGTGGCCTGTCAGAGCTAACTGACTCTTGATAGACTTGAACTGAATTAAAAATAAATTTACAAAAATTGTTACTTTTTTCAGAGATCTCTTTCTTCTATTCCTCTTGTGTCCCTCAAGGCGTGACGGTCATGATTCTCCCTAGTTTCCTGTCATTTGAAGCTCTTTAGTAAATATTGTCTTTCTTCTGTCTCTCCTAAAATTTGTTCTGCCATCCTTTTACACAAGTTTCTGATGTAGGCGATGCGATGTTTTTGTCTGTTCCGTTTGACTTCTGTACGTCATGTCAAATTAACCCTAGTATTTTTCCTCGTTATATGTCACTGCTATATATAAGTATCATTATTTCTGTATAAATGCGTCAGTAATCACATGTTTAGTGAATGGTATTATCAGCACCCTTTTGTAGAACCACATTTATGTTGCTTTGTGTCTTTTCATCATCAGAGAATAGATTTCCCAGCATTCATTGCCATATCCGACTGTTATTACATAGCAGTTCATAAATATATAAAAATATTTAATCTAGCAATGACATACTATTTATATGCCCCAAAGCACATACGTATATATATATATATATATGAAAGAAAAATACAGAAAAAACAAAATTCTGAAAATGCATTATTAATGTTAAAATAAAGTCGACGTCGGACGTTTCGGTCTATTTAAGACCATCTTCATGGACATTTTCATTTAAACATAATTAACATTATAACTTATAACAATTTAACACAAAAGACGATGGACATAAGAGCCCAACTAATTCAAACAGATAACTGAAATTTTATACAGATCAGCGTTCTGTTTAAATATGATCACGTAGTCGTCACGTGGGCGAATATATGCAAATATACGGATATAAATATGATTGTAACGGGAAGGACTTTCAAGCTTGTTGAAGATATAAGAACCAATTGTTTCACTACGTATTCCAACATCAACGGAAGAGATTTCTTTAACTTTTTTATAAAAATTTTTCAATCGACTTTTGATATTTTAATTTTTTGAAATCATCTTCGAATACGTCTTAACAACATCGCCCACGAGACGACTACGTGATCATATTTAAACAGAACGCTGATCTGTATAAAATTTCAGTTATCTGTTTGAATTAGTTGGGCTCTTATGTCCATCGTCTTTTGTGTTAAATTGTTATAAGTTATAATGTTAATTATGTTTAAATGAAAATGTCCATGAAGATGGTCTTAAATAGACCGAAAACGTCCGACGTCGACTTTATTTTAACATTAATAATGCATATTCAGAATTTTGTTTTTTCTGTATTTTCTTTCATACTGTCGGATTTATATCCATATATTTGCTTACATATATATATATATATATATATATATATATATATATATATTATATATATGGGACCTTACCCATAATAATAATAATGGACTATTCCATACTTAATAAATACTGCGCCTCAGGGTAGGCAAGGTTAGTCGCTCACATTCTGAGCGACTGTTCAGTTGAACATTCTGCCTTCGGGCGGAGAGGAACACGAACGAGGCAATTCCGAGGGGCGGAGTCCCGTTCGGGGAGATAAACCGGCCCTGAGCCCGTTTATACGGGTTCAATGGGCATATATTTGGGCCGAGCCCAAGGGCCTGGGGAACCCACAATAAATAACCAACCTTGCGTCACATGCTGCCCCAGTGACGGTGTGACGGAATATCGCCAGTCGTTCAATTCTGAACCGACTGTTCGGTTGAAATCTCTGCCTTCGGGCGGAGAGGAACCCGAACGAGGCTACGCCGAAGGGCGGAGTCCCGTTCGGGGAGGTAAACCGGCCCTGAACTCATTTATACGGGTTCCATGGGCATATTTTGGGGCGAAGCCCACGAGCACGGAGATCCCGCATTAAACAACCGGCCTTGTGCAATATGATGGCCCAGTTGGATGGTGGGGTGACTGAATATCGTCAGTTGTTCAAGTTGATCTCGGTCGACCGACTGATCTGCTGAACTCTCAGCCTTCAGGTGGAGAGGAACCCGAAGGAGGCTACGCCGGAGGGCGGAGTCTCTTTTGCGGAGGTAAACCGGCCCTAAACCCGTTTATACGGGTTCAATGGGCATATTTTGGGGCCGAGCCCACGGGCTCGGAGTTCCCAAATTAAATTACCGGCCTTGTGCTACATGATGCCCCAGTGGGGGGGGGGGTGACTGAATGTCATCAGTCGTTCAAGTCTTGACCGGCTGTTCGGTTGCACTCTCTGGCTTCGGGCGAGGAGGAACCCGAAAGTGGCCACGCCGAAGGGCGGATTTTCTTTCGGGGAGGTAAACCGAGCCTGAATCCGTTTATACGGGTTCAATGGGCATATTCTTGGCCGAGCCCACGCGCTCGGAGATCCCACGGGCTCGGAGATCCCACGGGCTCGGAGATCCCACGTTAAACCGGCCTTATGCCCCATGATGCTCACGGGGGTGACTAAATATAGTCAGTAGTTTAGTCGAGTCAAGAGTCGAGTCTGAGGCAGTCCGAAACAGAGTCGCGTTCAGACAATTTCTGCACGACATTGGAATAGTGATACTGGTCGAGACTACATTGTTCTCTCTACTAAACCTGTTTGTTCGTACGAACACTTCTACTTCTCTGTATATATTCCATGTTTGTAATATATCTGTGTTATTCCATACCTGTGTTCGAGTTCTTCTTTATTGGTTCTAACCTTGGACTATCACCGTGGTACAAGGAACCGGACCATAAAAATATATATATATATATATATATATATATATATATATATATATATATGGCATGCCTACATTATGTGATATTGGAAATAAGTATTTTCTTCGTTTCTAATGCAAATTTCTTGTTTCGTAATACTTTGCATAGCTTCCACAAGACATCTTTCTCCATAATTAATATATACCAAAGTGATGGGAAGGCCAACGCGGGGAGTGTACATTCAATTATCTTGAGGCATGGAAATTATTTTCTTTTTGGTAAAATTCAGGTAGCATCCGAGATGAAAAAATATAATGCGAATCGAAATACGTTTTTTTTTTAAATGTATTTTTGCGTATTAGCAAAATAGAGCTTATGATTTTAAAAACAAGGATTATAAATTTCATCGAGTGATTGGTAGGTTAATGCATCTTTAAATTCATGTTAGCGAAGGGATTTCTCCATTTTATAACATTAACTTTACTAATTTACTTTTTGTATGAATGATTCATTGTAATGTAATATGAATATATAACTGTACCACATATTTTATATATATATATATATATATATATATATATATATATATATATATATATATATACATACATATACCATGCATTATATTACTATCAAGCTCTACCTCTGCATTCAACTCTAGCACGACCATTACCTCCACCATTACGATCACCTTCAATACGACATACACTTACGTAACTCCCCCGCCATTACCTCTACTTCGCCCCTCAGTTGCATAACTAAATTCAATTCCACCACCTTTTTAACATATTATGAACTTCATTTTGACTACCACATTCCCTATAATAGCCTCCACCTCCATCTTCAACTTCAGTACCACCACCACCTTTCACCACCTCCACCACCTTCACCATCGCTGCCACTTGGCCAAGCATAACCTACACTTTTGCCTTTATCTCCAATCCCACCGTCACCTCCACTGCCATTTCACCTTACAATATTGACACCCAGACCACCACAGCCACCATTACATTCTCTGTCATGATTTCCATCTATATTTTCAAATCAACATCATGGTCATTTCTACTTGCACTTGCGTCAATACCTCCACCCTGACACCTCATTCACTATTTTAAACTTCTCCTCCACCTCGAGTGAATTCAGAGTTTTTCTCCGCCACTTATATATTAATCTCTGGAACCACCACACCACCACCATCATATGATTCGTATACATAACCACCGCATCTACTGTCAAATCAACTCCATCACTACCACCAATTATTTTGGGCTTCACCAACATGTCCACGGCCATATTCCCTACCATTACCCACCACGTCCATCGTTAACTGCAGCACAATCATAGCGGCCACCATAGTTTTACATAAACCATTAACACTTCCATATATCATACCTGTACACCAGCACCGTCATAATCTCCCTCACCATTTCCACTTACCTCATTAACTCTAGAACACTAACCATGGGTGTATAGTACTCAGCGCAAATTTTCCTATTTTTAATTATAATTTTCACTACCTGATTTTCTTACCTAAATAATGTTTTTCAGTTCCTATTAATGTTAACTCAAAGTACAATGTTTGAATTGTCTGCATGTAAAATATTTCAAGTAAAGATTTATATTTAATAATTTTTTTGATATTTTCAAAATCGGGTATGATATACCCATGGTTAGTAGTGGGGTGACTTTAATTGATGGTTTGTGTTCTAGGGTTAACTACACCAACACCATCACCACCAGCACCGCATTCACTAGCACCACCACCACCCCCATTTTCAACTCCAGTACCAACCTGACCTCCACCATCAATGCCAGCTCCCACCCCACATGACGGTCAAGCCACCATCATCGTCTCTGACCACAATCACCTCCTATATGACATCCAGCACCACTGTCAAATCCAACACCACCAACAAAACCCCCACCGTTACCAGCAGAAAAATCTCATACTTGGGTCAATCTTGACACACAAGCCTTGTCTCTGAGCAATACAAATCGATTTTAATCAACCCATTTTATACGAATACGTGTATGAGATCACAGGCATCCATTAATGTGGATATATGTGGTTTTGTCAATGTACTTATGTGTGTGACAATATCTGAACGTTGATGTGTGTGCATGCACAGGGAATGCTTGTGTGGAAAGGCATGTGTAAATACGTATGCCTGTGAATGTTCGTGGGAATAGAGATGCATACATTTCTATTTGTGTGTGTACGTGTATGTGTCTGCGAGTGTATGTATGTACGACTTCCACGGGATTAAGACCCGATTTCAGATACGTTCTGGTCCAACATGCGTCATTCGCTTGGCTGGAACAGTCTTTCAAAATGTCAGCTTAGAGAAACGGACTGATAACGAGTGACCGGTTGCCCGGCCCCAAATTTTACAAACCCTACCTCGCTCATAAACACAACTATCTTTCTTCTCTTCTCGCCCATCCGGTGACCAGTTTTCTTATATTGTGTTTTGTTAGTCATGAAGAAGTTGGAAAATAGCCAGAAATAAATTGGGAAACGTACTTAAAGAAAACACCAATCTCATGGAAAATTGTCTGATCACTGATATTGTTCTTAGAAAGTGTTCTATAGAAATATACGTATATTTAGTTTAGATTAACCAACAACTAGACAAAATGGAGAATAATTGTGTTGTGTCAAGAATTCAAATGGAAAAGGTTTTCGTGAGCAGCGTCTAATAATTATAATCCTGTAAGTTAAGGTACATTTGGAAACCGAACCAAACGTCCAGATTTTTTCTTGAATCGCTTCTTCGACTGGTTGAATTTTTTCTTCGTTCTCTCTTACATTTGCTAAATAATATGTATTACACATATCTATATTCCTTAGATGAGGTCTTGTAATTATTTACATCATTCAGACTGTTATCCTCATCTTTATTGCTATATTCCCAATGTTTCAGCCATTGTATGCCCCGACCTTCTTCAGGATCTGTCTATATTTCTGAGATGCGGTATTTTAATTATTTGCACTATTTACGTTGTTTGGACTGTTGTCCTCATCTTTGTTGCCATATTCACGTCATTTCGGCCGTTGTACACTCTGGCCTTCTTCAGGATCTGTCTATATTTCTGAGATGAGGTATTTTAATTATTTACACTATTTACATTATTCGAACTGTTGTCCACATCTTTATTTACATGTTCCCCTTAAATATCTGTCTGTATTTCTGAGATGAGGTACTGTAAATATTTACATCTTTCAGGCTGCTCTCTCCTCACCTTTATCGTTATATTCCCCTTCAATATCTATCTATATTTCTGTAATTATTTCTATATTTTCTATATCTATATTTCTGTATTATCGTAATTATTTACATTATTTACATTAATCGGACTGTTGTCATCATCTTTCTTGCCATATTCCCCCTCAATACCTGTCTATATTTCTGAGATGAGGCATTATAAATATTTAAATTGTTCGAGCTGTTGTCCTTATTTTTATTGTATTCTCGACGTTTCAGCCGATGTACGCTCCAGTCTTCTTCAGGATCTTTCTATATTTCTGAGATGAGGTATTGTAACTATTTACATTGTTCAGACTGTTGTCCTCATCTTTATTCCCATTTTTCACGAAGTTTCAGCCTTTGTAGGCTCCGGCCTTCTTCAGGTAGGATATGGTGGAATTTCGAAACGAACCATTTATTTAATTCATGGGGATATATTTTTCTAATTCTATATTTTATAAGTTTTTTTTAATGTTTCAGTTCCTTTAGTTGTTCAAATCTCCAATAATTTGTCCTCAAGGAAATATGGTCCAGTGGATAGAAGCATTGGTTAACGTAATCCTAAAAGGGACTTGGCCCAAAGAGTTGGGAGTTCAATACCTGGCCACAGCAGAAAGAACAAATATTTGCAGAGTTGAGTTACTAAAGGGAAATACCTGAGACTGGGATATTCAAAAAAGGCATGGCACGTGGAATTAGAATAATCTACGTAGAGAGTCGGAACGTACGATGCTGTAAATATGGCAATAAATAGTAGACAACAGTTCGAACAATATAAATAGTTTAAATACTATTTGCTACGTTCAACTTAGGTTATCAAAAGCAAAAAAAACGGTCTTTAGTAAAGATTCTTTTTTGCGTTCGTTGATTTCTTTGTGAACCAGATTTTAGTCATCGAAGGTCTCCATCAAGGTTTGCTGGGCGGATCGGCCGTTGACCTACTTCCAGCACCGTCACAAATTTTGAATTCAGCGTTGTTCTTCTCTTAGACGGGATGCCAATCAAGGCTTGACCGTCTATGTCGCGAAACTTGTCTAGCACGACAGTAGGAATCAACTTTTCTAGCAGCAGTCTTACCAATTCATTCGATATATTCTTCCCAGAGAAAAACAAACAGACTGGTAGCATGGAACTTACAGTTCTATATATCCAATTCAATTGTAAAAATGATGAGACCTAACCGCCAATCTAGTACTGCGCTTAAATCCATAACGTCTATGTATGAACGTTCATCAGAACAATTACCATGAAAATATTTATAGAAAAGGCAAAGCAACATTACAGCGATGGGAAAATGCCTGAACCCGTGTTGCCAGTTCAAGACCAGTAACATTGCTGATTCTTTTGATTTTATCAAGAGTTTCTAAATATAACGCAGGAGCACAAGACCATGTTGCTGTAGTATTCAAAGCATGGACGAATTATAGACTTATAAATGTGGAAGATAAGATTATGTCGCGAAAATTGTCTAGCCCGACACAGTGAAGCAAGCTTTGTAGAAGTAGACTTAGCAATTAATTCGATATATTTTCCAATTTCATGTCAACCGAAAACGTTAGTCAGAAAAGGCATATGGATCCCTCAACTGAAAGTTAGCATCATCCATTTTGATGTAAAGTAAAAAGGGTTCTCTCAGACGATTCAAAGACAGCAGCTTCCTTTCGGGAGCATTGGAATCACTAGCAAAGGGTTGAGAAGTGGGAGACATGAAGCTATTAGAGTAGAAGAGATGGCTACATTTAGCGGTTTCGACAGTGAAAGTGTGAGAGCGAGATGCCAGCCTAGTTGAACGCTTATATTAATGAAGTCTGGGAACCAGCAAAGGAATCTCATCGGAGCAGTTACCGTGAAAATATTTGTAAAAAAGACAGAGGGAGGCGACTGCAGACGAGATGCCAGATCAGGGCCAATTACATTGCATATCCGTCTTTGGATTTTATCAAGGACCTTGAGACAAGCAGAAGGGGCTCCAGACCATATATGGCAGCAATACTCCATGCAAGGGCGAATTGTTGATTTGTAGATTTGAAGGATCGATTCCGGGGAGAAAAATTTCCTGGCGAAGCACAGGGAAACAACTTACCTTGCGGTGAACGAAGCTATTGACTGAATGTATTTGTTCCATCTCAGGTCAGCAATCAATGTGAGACCGAGCAGTCGCAAAGAGGTGCTCTCGTGGAGTTGAGTGTAAGACATTCTAATGGGGGGGGCAGCGATGGTTCTCTGTGGTGTGTAATAGAGAGCAGTTTTGTTTTTGAGGCATTAAAGTTAACCAGCCAATTCTTGCCCTAGTTCGCAACCGATTGGAGGTCCTTTGCAAGACTAACGGCCAAACATTTACTTCAGTCCATAAAACCCTCCGTCCAGTGATGACGTATTATCACAGCACTGGATGCATAAATCACTACGCACCTCAGTTTCTCGAGATGAGTGTTGACATTCGAAGGAACATCCGGCGTTTGATGTGTCTTGATTTTAGTCCAGCTGGTTGGCTAGCCAAATTCCTCGCCAGAAAAGCCTGAACTAGTTTTTCTCGCTTATAACTAGCAAACAATACTGGTTTAGTCATATAATAATCTGATATAAGACTTACAGTATCACAATGTAAAATATACTTACTGAATTTGATTGATGCTTGCTATACCGAGAGGTTTTCAGGTCATATATATATATATATATATATATATATATATATATATATATATATATATATATATATACAAAGAGAGAGAGATTCCTATAGATGAACCACAGGTTCTAAAAAAAGGAAAACGTGGTTTTTTTTTCTCGGTCTTCACTCAGAAATGGAAGCGACACAAGGGAATCAACGAAGAACAGACAACGATGGCTTTCAAAATTAAACATTTATTTATAAATATATATATAACGAAACAAAGAAAGAAAAAAAAGAACATTCATTTAACAAAGGGGAGGACATCAAAGAATAGAAGGCGCGAGCGAATACATACATATATGAAAATAGATTTATCTTGCAGTCGGGCTGGTATAATTCGCCGAATTCTGATAATCAGTATCTTGGCCGGCCGAAATGTTCCTGGATTCTTCTTCTTTTCGCACAGTTTCATACAGGCATTTGGTTGGGTTGATCAGTCAATAGCAAATCACTGGTCGATAGACTTCGTGGTCTTCCTCATCTCAGTGGGCGGTCTGACGATTTTTTTTTGCCCAGCGATGTTCAACTGCCGCTGGTCAGAGGGAAACTGAAAAATCCTTCTTTGGTTTTCGCTGTCCCCACAGACAGTCACGTGGGTTCCCTTCGTCCTTGACCGAGGTACGCAGGAGAATATCACGCAGTGTTTGTATATATACAAAGTTCAACGCAGAGATCACGTGAATCGAGATTGGTGTCTGGGTTTACTCATGGTCAAACGCGAAATCTTAGAACCAGGTCATCCTTTTTCTAAGTTCACGCGCCCTTGGCTGGCGGGGTGGAAGAGAGGATAGGAGAGAAAGAATTTGTGAAGAGAAGAGGGGGTATGGCTGATCATAGAATATATTCTCGGAAGTATTGATTAAATTTCTGTTTTTATCTATTTATTTATCTTTCTTTTATATCTCTCTCTTTAGCTAACACCTATATGGTTAATGTATATATATATATATATATATATATATATATATATATATATATATATATATATATATATATATATATATATATATAGAGAGAGAGATAGATAGATAGATAGATAGATAGATAGATAGATAGATAGATAGATAGATAGTAACAGAATGAGATAGTATTATGGTCCAGGTTAGGACCAAGGAAGAACAACACGAACACAAGAGTAAAAATAATGAAGGTATCTTACACGAAATAATAATACAAGATGTGGAAGGTGTTAGTATGACTGTCAGTCTGGTTTGGAGTGAACTACTATCGGCTCGATTCGATTCGACCCTCTCTCTTGAGTGGCGTAGTATACATAGTGTTAGGAAGAGTTCATTTTGTAGTTATAGGTAAGAACCCATGAGAGATAGATCGATCGATCGAACGATCGATAGATGGATAGATACATAGATATGGTTTATTATATTCCATTTGCATGCACACAGATAAATATAGTTAACAATCAATGCAAGCACTAAACCCAGGGCCAAGTGTACATATTAGTATCGTAAGATCAAATATCGAAAAACTGTCAGGAAAGACGCATGCGCTATGTTTATTTATCATGTAGCTAGCGATTCCCGCCAAGAGTTGCAGCCTCTACATCCGACATTTTGCTTCCTGAGAGTGACGTCCCGAAACGGGACGTTGACACTTGGAACAAGCAATTCATTTCCTTTGACAAACATTGTAATTGATGAAAAGTGAATTGTACTTCGTACAATGGCCATAGGATTATATTTTTTTTAATCGAGATATTTTAACCGAACGGGCGTCTCTGGATACGTTTGAATCCAAAGATTAGGAGATTTTAGATTTCTTTATTCCTCTCTTTTTTATATCCTTTCTTTTTCTTTCTTTCTTTCTTTCTTTCTTTCTTTCTTTCTTTCTTTATTTTATTAAACACTATCTTTTTTTCGTAAAGCAGAGCGATACCCCCAAGTGTTTTTCTATCAAATAGCGCTCCTGTTCCAATGAAAACTCTAAAGTTGCTTGTTAAAGGAAGTTTTTATTTGTTAAGTGATAAATGCGTTGTCGTAATAACTTGGAAAATATTACCCTAAACAAGCCAATATATACCCGATATAATGCATTGCTGCTTTCTAAAGACGTGGCAAATTCAGCGGCTTGGATTTTGTCTACCATTTTGACCAAACAATAACCGCTCACAGCTAGACTCATTAGTGGGTATAAAATATGAACGCTCACAGACAGGGAACTGTGCAAATGAATTAGGTGTTATAATTTGAAAATTTTTTACCTGCCTACATCTTGTAGTTACTATAATTTCTTCGATCTGGGTTACCAAGTTATCTCTGCTATCCGTACTTGGGGAAAATCTTCGATGTTGGCGACCAAGTTCTCTCAATATTAAACCTCAGCTATCCGTACTTGGGGAGAATTTTCCATCTTGGCGACCAAGTTATGTCAATATTGAACGTCTGCTATTTGTACTTGGGGAAAATCTTCCATCTTGGCGACCAACTTATGTCAATATCGAGCCTCTGCTATTCGTACTTGGGGAAAATTTTCCATCTTGGCGACCAAGTTCTCTCAATATTGAACCTCAACTATCCGTACTCGGGGAAAAATTTCTATCTTGGCGATCAAGTTATGTCAATATTGAACCTCTGCTATTCGTACTTGGGGAAAATCACAAAGTGCGTGAGAATATGGCAGAACAGTTCAGGACAAATAAGAATAAATGACATTCATGGATTCGTAAAACTGTTCAACAATTTAAGATCATTCACCATCTGGCTGCTTAAGGTTAAGGTTAGGTTAAAGAGTTGCTTTCTGACTGGCTTGAATAGTAGACTCACGACCGAAACATTCTTGGGTAGAATCACCCCCCGCCGGTGATGCCAAGGTGTGACCTCCATATTCATAGCCAACGAAAGTAGTAAGGGTCAGCACCCATTGAAAAAGGTGAATTAGTTTAAAAAGTAGAACTATACCCCCAAAAGTAACGTGCTCTGATTGGTGCAACATGAAAGGTGTCTATCATGAATTGATAAACATGAACAAAACAATTAATGTAGAGAAACCTTGGCGCATGTTGGAAACATAGCAGAAGGCTTTGCAGGGTAATCGTAAAAGGTGTGACAGAGAGGAAACTTTGTAAACGAATTAGGAGTGATAATTTGTTTTAACTGCCTACACCTTGTGCTCTTGGAAAATTTAAAAGAAGCATATTCAGTACTTGAATTATTTACATTACTCGAACTGTTATCCTCATCTTCATTTCCATATTCACAGCGTTTCAACCGTTTTACGCTCTGGTCTTCTTCAGATGAATGGAATTTCGAACTGAACCCTTTATTTCGTCCACCGGAGTAGATTAATCTAGTTCCGAAAATTCATTAACAGGTGTCCTCAAGGACACATTTCAAGTGGTTAAAGACGTTGGTTAGATCCAAGTGACTAGACCCAAAGAGTTGTGAGTTCAATACCAGGCCACAGCGGTGGTGAACCAAAACTTGTAGTGTTTAGTTAAAGCGAAATAACTGAGACACCCGGAAGAGGCATGGCACGTGGAACTAAAACAATCTACCCGGTGTACGAAATAAAGGGATCGGTTCGAAATTCCAATCAACTGAAGAAGGCTGTAGAGTACAACTGCCGAAATGTAGCCGATAATTATATAACGTCACATTGTGATGTATAATTATATTAAGTCCGATTGCACCACAAATTAAATCCAAGAAAAACAAAAAAAAACTAAAGTGTGAAATAGAGAGAGTGAGTGAGTGAGAGAGAGAGAGAAAGAGAAAGAGAAAGAGAAAGAGAAAGAGAGAGAGAAGTAATAAGTTGATTATCTCTTTGCGAAAGATGTATACTGACATCTTATTTCTTGTTTCTCTCTCTTTCTCTCTCTCTCTCAAGAAAGCAAAAGTTTGTAAGAGAGAGAGAGAGACTGAGGGAGAGAGACTGAGTGAGAGAGTGTGAGAGAGAGAGAGAGTGAGAGAGATAGAGAGAGAGAGACTAAGTGGATCATCCCTTTGCGAAAGATGTATACTGACATCTTATTTCTTGTTTCTCTCTCTTTCTCTCTCTCTCTCTCTCTCAAGAAAGCAAAAGTTTGTAAGAGAGAGAGAGAGAGAGAGAGAGAGAGAGGGAGAGACAGAGAGAGAGAGAGAGAGAGAGAGACTCTAAGTGGATCATCCCTTTGCGAAAGATGTATACTGACATCTTATTTCCTTGCCAAAATTACCTGTTCTGGTTAGATTCTACAGTCATCCCCGCCTATTAAATTCAGTTTACCACACATAGCGATAACTTTGTTCTTTCAAATTACTTATGATCAAGCGATTTCTGCCTTTGCTATGATGTAGCTTTTTTGTCTTATTGTTTTTCATAAAATTTTTCTCACTTCAACTTTGTAAGTAACTTGTAAGCCTAATGCCACCATTTTTTTTTTTTTTGTATTAATGTTTCGTATTGTTTTTCTTTCCCACGGGCGGAAGGGAATTCCATACTTTCAGGAAGTGAGAACGTTTTTCTAATCTTTTCGTTATAATTCAATTTTCAAAAGTGATTTAATCAATTTCCGAGTTGGAATGAAATTAGCGGTAGAAATCGACAGATCAGGAGGGCACAGTGAAATGGATAATCCGCTTAATTGAAATTTATTCTCCGTTACCAAATACGACCAAAACGTGGAGTTTGTGAATGAAGAAGAAGAAAAAAAAAACACATTAGTAATTATTAATCGATAGAAGAAAACTGATTGAATCTTGATTTCAATAAATATCAAATGTAAGAAGGGGGAGAAAAAATAGATAGAGAAATAAAAGAAAAAAAACTATGTGAAATAAAGAGAAATTAAATCAAAAGTAAGGGAGAAGAAAAAAAAGAGGACTGAGAGAGACAGAGAGATAGAGAGAGGAATAAAGAAAGAAAAAGAAAAAGGATGAAGAAAATAAGAGACAAACTCTAGAGGTAGAGCGAAAAAAAGGCTAACACATAGTAGCTATGCACTTCACGTTTTTAAAAAACACTTTATTCCATTTATATTTATTTATTACAATCAGATTTATTCAAAAATGTTTATGTACATTTCTTTTAAACTTTAATTCCATTCTGTTTAGCACAGTGTAATGACAAATGTACGTAGGTGTAGTCTTTAAGAAAGCTTTATTCAACTGAGAATACAAAGTTCTCGTGTAGTGTCCTTTTATAGTCCCAGTAAACAGAAATAGCTCTCTCAAAGAGGAGAGTAACAAGACAAGGGGAGACCACTTTTGATTATATATAACACACAGTTTAATGCTTTAAGTGTTAAAAAAAGGTCCTTTTTCAACATTGCAACATTCCGAGAACATCTGCAGAATGCTATGAGACACAGCAGGACACGATTCCCCAACAACATCTATTTTATTAAATACTTCTCAGATGTATTCTTTTAATTTCTCCACAGTGTGGAGATCTATGTCATAAAAATTGTTGTTTACTACACCTTCCTTCAAAAAGAAATTCATTGATATTACGTCAGTGATCAATAGATGCTGCTCTTCTTCCGAAACACCGTTCATGATTGGCTTTGATAATTAAATAGTATTTTATATTTTGTCAGGGATATATATATATATATATATATATATATATATATATATGTGTGTGTGTGTGTGTGTGTGTGTGCAAATATATAGAAAAATAGAAAAGAAATAATTCGAAGTTCTTTAGTATTTTTGTTTTTATTTTTAAAAAACAGTGCTCAATACAAAAGTAGAGCCTAAATTATAATTATTTTTTTTAAAAAAATATGATTCCTTCGCTACATAAGAGTTCTCGTGTTTCAAAAACAGGAGCCAAAGGCTTCAATATAATTATTAAAATTAAATTGAATTTAAGTATCAATCTCTAATCATCTTCAAGCGAATCTTTTTTTTTTTCCAAAAATTTCGCTAAGGACATTTTGTTTTGTTACTTTATTTTAATAAATTTATTTCGTTTTTGCCTTGAAATGTACAGATTGGACGAAACGCGTCGGCTAATATTACAGTTTTCCTATTGTCTTTTGTCCTTTATACATATTATCTTTTTCTTCAGGTGAACTTTGAGAAATTTTTTATATATATATATACTTATTTATGTCATGAAATACCAAGAAGAGTCATTATTCAAAACCCTTCAGTTATCCTAATTTCGCGACATTGTTTACGCTACGTTTTTACCGGTAATAATATAAGAACCCCTTTTTTATATATAAAACTTGCTGGCTAATTTTATTCTGCATACATGGTTGGCTCTGATTGCCGCATGAGTAGCATTGTAAAATTGTTCCGAGTAACCGAGGCGTTTTGTTTTGAACAATTAGTTACGGATAGATATTATTCACAAGGCCACCATGAATAACAAGAATGTAAGAATTTCATAGAGATTATAATACTCACATGCTAGGCAAGTAAACGAGACATTAAATATGATTCTTTTCCATCTAACAAAAATCTTCTAAAAAATATGCAGACAAATGGTTGAGCCCACATCAGAAAGAATCCGTCCGTACTGAACAATGTAAAAAAAAAAGAAATGACTTGTCGATGTCATTTCAATTTTTCTTTTTGACAGTGGATATTAAGTCTTCCAGTCGGCCTTGCGCAGTTTTCTAAATTAGCAAACATATTAGTAAAATTCTTACTGGGTATAGATAAAGCAATAATTTTTACATAAACATTATGAAGCAATAGATTGAGAAAACTCCATTCGGTTTCATAACGTACAAGTCGCAACGCTAAAGTTCAAATATTTCAAGTTACTCACTTGAAATATTTGAACTTTAGCGTTGCGACTTTCACGTTCAAATATTATATAACCGTTAATAAATAACACATTCTTAAAAAAATCTTTCGGTCTACAACACATTTATTTCGTCTTCGAGTTTTGATTTTAAAGGAAAAAAATGACAGCCTGGTGATGAAGACATAACGTTCGTGAAAGTACTTGCTGCTCTAACTACAT